TATCCACCGCACCCCAAAAGCCAGCCAGGCCTTTATGTGCCACATCCAGGACCAGAGGTGAACAGGACTTGTCATTTCGGAGAGCTAGAAGATTGTCAGCAGAAGAGGTGGGTGGATATCAAGTGCTGGTTCCTGGATCTTTTTTTGGAAACTGACACTTCTGTAATTACAATAATAAATTCATAAATAATATTTTTTTCATCTTCCACATGACTCTTTGCAACCAGGACTTTCATCAAGGGGTCCATCGCATGTGACTACCATGGAATATTCACTATTGCTGCCGAGGCTGGCGGCTTGAGGGGTCCCTGAAGGCGGGACAAGATGCATAGATTTACTTTTTCAAGTCTGGGGACCAAGGACTTCTGCATAAACTCTCAAGTCCACCTGTGTGACAGTCATCCGCAACTCGCCATGTTTGGCTGACCAATTAACCTTTCTGGCAAAAACTTCTACACCAAATGTCTGTTAGTGAAGTTCCCAGGCCTGGCAGACCCATTTCTCCTAATAAAAACAACAAGAGACATCAAGCTGGGAGAGGAGATCTACGTGGACCATGGGGTGAGGCAGCACTCGTTTAGGGTTGGAAGGCCAGGGGATGATCTTAGCTGGATGGGTGAGGTTGGCTCANCTCCCAAGAGAAATAGTTTAGTCTTATTTTTACAATGTTCTATTCAATAATTTATCAGTTAAAATTTTGATTTTAATTTGTTTGACTGTGGTGTTGCAGTAAAAAGTTCAGTGTTTTAAGTTTTAGTGTTGTAATTGTTCTTTTTTTGTGTACTCCAAAGTTCAGTATGACTTTAAATTGTGTCTTTGCAATTAAAATTTTTTGTTTTGTCTTGTGCTGCTGATAACCCCCCCAGACCCCATTTTTTCCTTCTGGTCCTGGATACAAGACGGTTGACCAACCATGGTACAGAATGTTTTCCTTTTGCATTTCTTTTAAACTTTTGCTTTGAGCATGTGTAAAATGTTTGGTCAAAAGGTCAAGGCAGCTGACCTTCCTTGCAGTGGAGGACATTTTGTCAAGCCAAAAAAATTTCTTTGGGCTTCTTGCTGCTCCTTTTATCGTTCACTAGATTGAGGCATTGCCATTTCAGGTGGAATCTGGATCACTGTCACAGCTATTTTCAACTTTAGCAGTGCTTCCTGTTGCATAAAGATGGCCCAAATGAAACACACTGAGGTTTGTGGATTAGAGCTGAGAAAATGGAACATATTAAGAGGTCAGATTCCTTTTGCAAGATACTGTAAATGTCATGTTGGGTTCCAGTTTCTTTACCGACATACAGAACACCACCAGGAGAATAGATAATCAGATAAATAAAGTTTATTTCAACAATGATAAGAATGTGAGAATCTGAGTCTGGTCCTTGGGAGGGGCTACGGGGGTCGTCTGTTTTCTGAAGAGTAGCAAGAGGAAAATGGTGAGTTTGAGGTCGTCGTAAAAATGGAATCTTTGAAACAATCAGAAAGATCTTACTTGTTTTAGAAGGAGACTTTAGCCAAAGAGGAGATACTGTGGGTTCCAGGGTTAGGTCTCTCTTTGGGTGCTCTAGAAGTGATTCAGATTCCAGTTAATTCTTTATAGAATGGGTTCTTTGTTGGAGATGAGGAGGCCGCATGCTAGTGATGGGCTATCTCAGTGTTTCTCAACCTTTTTCGGGCCAGCGCTCCCCTAGCCTTTATCCAGGTCCCTCACCTCCCCCACCAAACAATTTGTAGGCTACTTTGCACTG